ACAGCTCTACGAGTGTGGAGTGGTCATCCTCAGCGCTGAACTCAAGGGGGTGGGGGGATGGTGGGGGGCACGTCCGAGCTTGCCTCCTAAAAGAACTAAAACTAAACTAAATTTTTACTGTTTACATTTGAAGGCTAATTTGATTTCATAGAATTATCACTTAAAACCAGGAAGACTTTAAGCTGATTATTTTATTTCAATTCCAAACTTTTAATATGTTTTGATACTCATCTTTACCTTTGAATTACAAAGGTAGGTAATAATATGTAGTAATTGGACCTGTGATGAGTACTCTCCTGTACTCTATCTGACGCTACATGACTCTACCTGACAGGAGCATGACAACCGGCACTGTTCATAAAGTGAACGCATGCTCTATATAATAATTTAAATTTCTTTAATATTACAAGATTATTAATTATCCAAATGAAGATGTTGCAATTAGTATGGATATTATCTTATTTATGATTTATGAACCAATTATGTAACTACGTACTTTGTTATAAGATTCAAATTCAAGTAAAATAACTGTACAACATAAAACTTTTCGAAATTCTTTATCTAAATTTGAAATCAGAACACAATTTCACAATTAAGTCATATTACTAGATTTCATCGCGCAAAATACTCCACCTTATCAGTGAGCCATAAAGAATAAAATCGTCTGAGAGTTGTAATAAACTTACGACATTACTCAGTGTGAACGATTTTTAATCTCTTCATCAGAGTTCATCTGATAAACGTTATAATTCTTTAAAACGACGCAATCTGAAATAAACATTAACTATCAGACCCACGTTTTAATTTTCTGTGAAATTTTCAAGTGACTTACGATATTATGGTAATGAGATCAACTTTTGGTTTACAAATTCGAGTCAATTGACATAACGAGATAAAAGTCCCCAACTAAACTCTTCTAAAATAGCTCTTGTTATTTGCAGTTAAGGTTGAAGTTTGCATGTGATGGCTAAATAAGTTAGGACATAATAGCAATAAGTAGTGTTCAAGTCGGTATGTAAGCGAGGCTAGCGATTGGTGAACGAGTTGTCAAAATAAGGCAAGGGGCGGGGCCGATTCAGCGATACCTCTCATCTCTAGTCATCTCGCTCTGGTTGAGAATCGAGACGTGACGTCACTGTCGTGGGTTCTGTATCATTTATATATATGTCGTTTTTCAAGTTCTATTTGAAGAATTGTTTTGGACAATAACCCTGTCATTGTGACTATGATTGCACCACTTTGAGAAGGCGGCACGACATGAAAATCCTCTTGTTGTGGCCGCCGGTAATAATGGTAAATAGTCGACGTCGCCCAAAACACGTCTTTACTGATCCTCCCGATCCACTACGGTGCTTTTAGGTACCTCAAGCACCGGTCATCTCGTCGAACCCGTCGCTTGCGATGAAGGGCTCGACAAATAAATTAACCCACAGACACAGAGCGCCGAGTTTCTCGCCGGTCAGCGCGTTAGTTCCGCGGCGGGGATCGAACCCGCGGTGCCGGCTACGTGACACTGCTTTATTATTGCTCTTTTTACTGTTCACTAACTAAATGAGGTAGATCCTATTTTTGTGAAAAGAATCAACCTGCTATATTTTTATATTTTCCAGAATTTCTGTAAATTAAACGGTTGTCTGGAAGAGATCGCCTATTGTACAAATGTATCTGCTTTTTGACTGCTTTTTGAATGTAAATTGTGTTTTGGTGTGCAGTAAAGTGTATTCTTTCTCTCTCTCCCTCTCAACCGCAAAAAATGTAGTCGACAAAAGACACAACTTTAGTTAATAGTGAATAATTGGCGCGCGCGGCTCAGTACCGCCCGCAGACAGCTCTTGACCATGTCACTAACCCTGCACTACCGCCACACCAAACAACTCATGTCCATAAGTCGGCGCCGGCGGTCACGTTATGACATGTATCGAACTGGAGAGTCCAGGCCATCAGCTCGCTCGCTTCTCTGGTCGAACCCGCGAGCCCAGTGACGAAGAGGCTCGTTTGGTTACTATGCTGAGACTCCTTGTATAAATATTATATTACGGTGGGAGACGGAGCGCTGTGAGAATGTTCCCAGGGAAGTGGCTGCGGTCGCCGGTGTCCACTTACAGACATCTCGCCGTCTTCACCACTCATGACTAGCTTGTAACCACAACTAACGTTGGTTCTAATGGTTAGTAAACGAGCCATCGCGGCACAGCGCCCAGTTGCTTGGCTCGTTCAAGCTCAAGGGTCGCCGGCTCCACGCCGGGCCCGCACCATCAGTCCCAATGAATACCTGCGTCCTAACCATTACACAATATCTAAAAACAACGAGAAAGTTATTACACAGGAAATTTTACAGGTGTGTACGATTTTTTGTATGGACGGGTATTGCGCCCACGGCCTCCCTTGCGTTAAGTGTCTCTTGTCGCTTCAAGTCAAGCAGTATGACAGACGCTTGACAGTTGAAAAACTAAATTAAATGACAGAAACAGGTCGACAGTACAGTGGAGTTACCCAGTAGTTGGGTCTGGTCCGTTAACTGTGTTTACGCAATGGTGTACAGTATTTATGTCTGGACATTGACCACGTACATGAGCACCGGTGAGCGCTCACATCCGGCTTACTTCCGTTCTTGCCGATTCCCCCTGGTGAGGCGGGTACACCGTTAGACATCAACCTGACTGCGGGAGGTCGTCACTGCCCCTGTGTCGACAACAGTCGGCGTGCAGGGCTGCAAATTATCACTTGTTTATATTGAATGCCCTGCGTGTTGTTCTAACAGGATCGTAACAGTGCGTTTGACTCCACCTTGTCATGTCGCTCAAGACATCAAACTGGTTATAAGCTCGGTGTGAGAGCAGCTGCGGTCCACAGACACAACCCGTCGAGTTTCTCGCGGATCTTCTCAGTGGGTCGCTATTCTGATCTGCTAGTACATTCAGCGTATCACTGCTCTTCATACAACTGCAATTCTCTCAGACTGAGCTCCGTGAGCTCGCCTACTCGTCTACAGCAAGATCGGCCCTTTAGAGGTCTCTAGCGATAAGGTAGGGGAAAACATAATGTTGAAATAAAAATACTGATACTTCATAACATCACTCCTGGGCAGCCTTCGGTAAAAACTATATCTCCGTGTCCATCAGAAGCTTGTTCTTGGAGCCGCTAGTTCCTATCGCCGTGTGCGAGATACTCATTGCTTAACTGCTTCAGTAGCGGCAGCCGGCGGTAGGTCGCGTCCGACTGCACGGGTGCACTGGTGGGTAGAGTCATCTCGTGGAAGTCTGCCACCAAGCCGCACCCTGGACGAGCCGCTCCAACGACATGAACTATGTATAAACTCGAGATGGGATAATAATAGAAAGATAATAATAAGTTTGTCGTGGATCGTCAGTGAGTGGACAGTTCTCACTAAGCTACAAGAAAAACTGTGAAAGATTAAATACTTGTTTTATTTGAGCGGCACACACGCAAGGAGCCTGTGTGCGTACGCGGCGCGGCGTCGATGTGTGCACGTATTGGTATCGTTTGTTGTGGGGTAACGGTGCGGGCGGGCGCACGAGCGGGCGCACGAGCGGGCGGGCGGGCGAGCGTTATTTTATACAAAATGTGAAAGAAATATTAAATATTAATAATTGTTTAAACTAATCGATATAATAAAATAATGTACCAGGAATAAGGAAACTAACATTAAATTCTGTAAATGTCACTTGTACCCGACTAAATATTGTACTTAATTAATTTCGCTAAGAAGTAAAAGATTGAACTTAATCATATAAAAGATTCACAAATATTTATAAGACGAAAACACATTTAAACACAACTGGCTGCTTTAAAATAAATATTGAGCACCATTCAAAATGTTGACGGTCCTGTGGGACACCCTACAGTAGATCGCTACTTGCCCCGTCTCCGCTACAAGTGGCACCACACAGCCGACCAACAAAACTACTATGGGTTCGAGCAAGTAATTTCACAGCGATTTAGTCAAGTGTACTCTCACAAAAAACAGTTCCATTCACTCGCGCCAGTAGTCGGCCCAGACCCCAGACCGGAGCAACTGCATGAATGAGGGACCCGCGCCACGCCGCGCCGCGCTGCGAGATCAATCGACGTAAACACAACACGCTCGAGCTCACGAACTCGTCGCTATCAATATTCATTACAAATATTTTAATGTATCTCGAATAAATAAAATGAATTGCTTTCTAAGCCAATTCAGTCAGTTGTCGCATTATTAACTGTCTGGATCTAAAGGTTGTAATCGTTGGTAAATGTTGTTGTTCTTACCCATTATTGATTTTACTAAATTTTTATTGTGAAATTTTTCAATTTGAAAGAATTGCTCTTGTAAGCGATACCGGCGCCTCATGAGGCAGCATCACGAAGAACCAAATAAAGAAGCTACTTGCTACTTGAGCTATGCGGATTCAAATGTAAGCAATATAAACGGTTCGCATATTGTGACGTCACGCAGTGCGGGTCAGGGACAACAGTCGTCATCTTTATATTATTGTTATGAGACTTTAGATGTATGGACTTCCCTAAGGGCGTATTGATATTGTTGTTATTGTAGTTGTGCTCGTGTGTGTACACATAATATGTATACTTTCAATATTCTCCGTGGGACAAATAATCATAATATATTTACAAATACTTACATATCGAAGGAAGAAAATAAAAAGTAATTATTAACACAATACCTAAGAATAAATAAAAGTAAAAAGGCGAAGTGAAGTCTGTAGCGATATAGATGGAATTAATTTAAAATCATTTGTTACGCGACCGTCTCTCTCTCCGCGAAATACAAACACTCGGTTACATGATGCGCCACAGACCACCGAACCAACAGAGCTGACTCCACACTAGCCGTAACAATTTAACTGACACTTTTTGTATTTAAAACCAAAATGAAGTATTAAACATAACAGGGAAGTCACTATATGGAGATGGAGATGGAGATGTCGGATGCCCTTTGAAACATTGAAAGTCTTCAAGTAACAGAATAAAGAGTGAATACTTGCCGTCGCTGCCCTGGCTGCCGCCGTGCGCGTGGTGTGCGTACTGCTCATCTGAAAAGTCGTACTCTACGTCAGATCAGACACATCTGCCCTCGACTCATCCTTCACTATGGTCGCTGGTAGTACATCTCCACTACTCTCACTCACTACACTATTGCTTATATGATAATATGGATCGATATATTATTTATTTTGCACTTTATTAAAAACAGTATTTGGTCGACTTCAGTCACACCGTAGCCGAAGGTTGTCCGGTATCTCAAAGTTACCAAGTGATGATAAAACTACTTATAACCATGAAAACTTCTATTTTACGTCTTATATAAGATATTCCTTTGGGTTATGAGTCATAATTATCAATCTTTAGTCTCTAGTAGTTCTCTAACTAAACAATCTTTACTGTTTAATGTATTTTGCTAATAACTTACTTTGATTAAATTTTGATTGACCAACGCAGTAGCTAGCACCCCTAACTGCTAGATTAAGTGGTGGGTTAGATTTCTACTCCGAGCAAACATTCGTGTGATGAACAGGTTTGTTTTCTTTTTATGTCGGTGATTAGCATACATGTACACTGGCCCATGTATCCAAGTTTATATTTATTAAAAAAAGACATCAATAGTTAACTGAGCTCAGTTTTCTATATATCTGGTATTGACAGTGACCACCCTTTTTATATTCATAAGCAATTATAGAACATTTCCTGTCGCTAACTTAAAATGAACTCACCTCCATTCCGGTGGTCAGCGGGCATGAGCTCTTGGTTTTGCATAGCAGGTGCGTGTATGAGAACCTTCTGCTGTGGGCTGTGAGGGTCCAGCCCCTCTACCTCCAGCAGAGGAGCGTGGGGCTCGTATGAATGTACTACCATGGGCGGGGCGTGCAGATCCATCGTGCATCACAAGTACACTCTCAACACTCTTGTCACACACTCTTTTGGTTATGATTGTCTGTTAGAAACACTATGATGATAATCCAGCACTATTTGCACACAGCTACTATCTGAGAGCTCAGTATAATAGAGTGAGGCGGTAGATGGCGCTAGCGGTTAGCTAAAGTCCGCGGTTCAGTTCTGTTCGTTGCGTGCTCTGCTAGAACCAGTCTAGACTGTTGATTATAGAATTATACACGAGTATTTTTGTATGAAATTTTGTTTTTAGTCTATTTGAGTGTCACATTGTGTCGACACAAAAGTGTTTCAGGGTTTTTTTCGTATTTTCTGATTTAGTTTCACCATTTTCGTACCTGAAACAATTCATTTAATTAATTAGATTCGGTTCGTCTTCCTGTCGAAACAGTAATCGTAGCAGCAGAAGCGTGGAGCAGACTCCAGAAGAGATTATTGTACTTTTGATAGTTTTGTAATTGTAATAAATCAATGAAATGTAGCAGCGAGGGCCCCGTACTAAGCAAAGTCCTCAAGTGGCTGCCGGTGCGCGCGGTCACACACGAGCTTATCGACAGTCTTTGCTTGTTCTCGATATCTATTTTGGTCGAAAATTACAACCAAAAAAAATATTTTTAATGAATATTGGTAAACGTCAAAATCTATTTATACAAAATAAAAAAAATTGGTAAACACCTTACTAGAAAAAATGGGCTTAAGAAATCGCACAAACAGACAGACAGATAACCAGTTGAGTTTAAAATCCGTTTAGTTTTGCAAGACTTTGTGATTTTAGAATTGCGATATCCTACTTTTTGTTAATACTGACCCACACACTCGTACTATTACAATATTTTTAGTCAGGTTTGAGGTTGAGTCAACGAGAGTCAACTCTTGTTTCTTGCACGGGTCCTAATGTCCTAACTACAATGTAGGTATGTACATAAATATAACCGAGAAACAATGATAACAGGAGTTCACAGAATTTACATGAAAGTAAGTAAAACAAGATAAAACTTAGCACAAATATAAATCAAAGCTCGCTTCCGTTTTACAAATAAAATGTGTAGAGCATATATTGTAGAGCCACGAGCCGCGCTCCGCCGGCCGCAGCCATTGTTCGCGCCGCCGCCGCAGAGCCACGAACCGACCGTGGACCCGCCGGGTCCTATATGTGGAGCGTCGCAATTATGTCATTACATGCTAATTTAAGAGATCTTACGAAGGTGTGCTGTGCGAGAGTGTGAGTTCTAGACAAGGCTTCATTGAGGGACTACTGGTGGCCCGGAGACCTTTCCAGTTTCACCAAGACAGGTGGGCGAGCAAAGGCTCCGCCAAGAGGGGGACAGGAACCCTTAGCTAACACAGTATATAGGTACACTCCCTTGAGAATTGATGAAAATCAAATGTAGCTTTTGTCACAAGTGAACATCCCCGCATGTACCACATCCAGGATAAGAGTACATTTCATAGTTGATTGAGTGGTCGCTCCGGCCGTAGCCTCCACCGAGCTGCATGACCCGCGCACTGCGAGCGACACTGGCGCTCACTTGTTTATTTACGCGAGGGAACGGTGTGCTCCGATTTTGCAAAGTGATTACTTACCATCAGGTGGTCCGTTGGCTCACCTGCCATACTGTACAGTGTTTGTTTCCCTTTAATGCGCTAATGAACTGTGTACTACTAAATGCCACTGAGTGCCAGAGAGTGCCAGTGCTGGGGCTACGAACTGAATATACATTATGATGACTTCCAATACTTTTATTGCAATCGTAAATAATTTATTAAAAATTCTGCGTCTCTGTGTGCGTCGACACTTGTGTGTATGTGTGAGACAATGAGTCGTCTGCAGAGGCACGACTCAAGGCTGTGGGAATAATTCGACAATACACGTACAACCGCACGTGATATTCGAGTCCGAAGATATGTCTCGGGACAACTTTGTGATAAGTGTTTTTAATACATTATGACAGGCACAAGATCTACTGCTCATTTAAGTTTAAGCGCCATCCCGGGTGCACATAATCTGCATCTTTACGTGAATATCACCGAATACCATTTTTTACAATTACCATTTACCAATGTTCGGTAGGCAGCGGCTTGGCTCTGCCCTGGTATTGCTGAAGTCCATGAGCGACGGTAACCACTCCCCATCAGGTGGGGCGTAGGCTCGTCTGCCTACAGAAGCAAAAAAATAAATAAAAACCACGACCCATAGACTTTAAACCTCTATTTCAATGGACTTGACACGTCCTTCCACGTTGACGTCCACCGGCAGATAAGCAGCTAGGCAGAAAAGCAGTGTTACATTCACAAGGCCACGTGTACGAGACAAGAACAAATACGCTCTGATCACGAACACTAAGCAGCTGACCCGGAATCGATCCCCGGTCCCTATGTTCCGTCCAAAACTTCAACATATCACACGAAGCGTATCTCAGTGCATCGTTGAGAATTGTTCCACGTGAGTTTAATATTTGCGAGTCTGTAATTATAGCGCTGTACGGACACGGCATCTATCTTCAGACACATCTCCGCGTTGTCGACCCTACTGTGTCCGATGTTCCCATACACAGACACAGTAAAACACACATTTAAATAAACACACATATACATTTCAGTATAATTTGGGATCCATTGTCGCCTTTTTAACAAATTTATCCACAAAAAAATGTTTAATTAAAATTCTAATTTAATTTGTTCTTCATATTTTCATAAGATTAACTCCGTTCCTTGGTATGTTCGGAAAAAATGTCTTTTACGGACCTTGAGTTAGCTACATATTGTGTTTAGTGGAACTTAATCAAGAGCTAATGGAAGGGACTGTGCTTGAGCGTCGCGCTGTTGGATCTAGGACAATGTCGTGTATGGTGCCGCAAGATGCCGCGATGTGCCGCGAAGTGCCACGTGGTGCTGTATGGTACGGGTGCACTACTGCTCAGTAGTGCTCAGTGACAGCGGCCTTCTAATATCTCCTCACAAAGTAAACGATTATTGTGAAACTTATTTCAAATGACTTGTGTTATGTTTTTGTCGAATATGTGAAACAGACCTTAAATAATGTATTAGGTGTTAATCCGAACATCATGGTATCTGATTATACGAACGGATGGCCCGTGGGAACACATTACCTGCTTGAAAACAATGTACAAATGATTTGAAAATAATAATATGTGTTCGAGAATAAAAACAAAACCGAGTGGCGGTAAGTGATCGTGCGAGGGACACCAGCGAGATGTCTCGCTTAATGCAACCAGACTAGTTGACAGCCCACCTGATAATAAACCAGATGTGTAGTCGCACTAGTAGAATGTGACGCTTGGAAGTATGACCTTAGGCGGGTGTCTGTTGCAATCGGTAGTGGCAAGTACACCGAATGGCACAACTATGCACAAATCGAACTCCAAACTTCACGAAAACTGCAATAAGTATTCCGCGGCCCCGCGATGGTATTCCATCGGACCTGTGTATGCTCCTGAGGGCCCCTGCAGTCCAGGGAGGCCCGCGTTTATGGTCGCACCACGAGTAATTAAGTTTTCGTCTATTCCAGTTGTCAGTGAAGGAACAATATAGTATGCAAGCGTATGACCCACTTACAAAGACAGGTAATATTCTAAGTATTTGGTGTCCTATCAACTGGCGAGCTAAGTACTTCCTTGCTTGTGACTGTCAGTGATCATGAGGACGAGTCGCACGCCACCGGCGCCACCTGTCGAGCGTAATTAGTACCTCCCCAGGAACACTCCCTGAAGATACAGTTTTAGGTCGATCGCACAAGGGACGCGTGAATGAACACGAGAATACGACAACGGATGAGTGAGTGCGGAGTAGCGCGCGCCGCTCCGTACCACAAGCACGTTTAGATTCATTCATCTGGTTATTGAATGCTCCTTACAGAATATTGAAATCGTGTTCAACTTCCTTTCGTAACGTATGTACCTACATACTTATATAAAAGACGCGTTCTTGGGTTTTGTCTTACTGTTTCAGTGACATGAGCCACGGGCAACGAAGCCATTACTTGGCTACTGTGGTGTGAGCAGCGTGCCTCTACCTACATTAACATAAGTAATAACAATAAAAACAAATTTTTACACAAATAATTGAGTTTTCTAAAAAAAATCTCAATTTCCCAACCGCCCCCCAATTACCGGTGGAGTGTGACGACTGATCGAGTAAAACACTAAAAATGACTTATTTGTAAACAACGGCTATTTTCCGGTAGATTGGGCTCGCGGGGCCGCGCTGCGACCGGCGGCTGGCGACAACCTCTCACCCCTACCACGGACCGCACTCCCGGCTCCTCCGTCCTAATAACACGACACGAGTAGGTATACGCCGTCTCATCTACGCGCCTCAATCATTACAATACTAAGCACTGAGAACTAAAGAGGCTCAGGCTATTTATTATTCCTTCAACTCATTTATTTTTTATCAGCTATTTATTACACGCCTAGACGAGAAAAAATAAAACAGTTTTGTAAAAATATAATGTACTGGATTCAAAAGAAAAACACACACCAATTAATTATTGTTAGTTCATGTGAAATAAAATTTGCAGTTTTGGAGGTCCTTTTTTAAAAAAAAGGCAGGACGTCCTGTCCAGTTTTCAACAATAAATTTAGCTTGGTTGGAGTTAAACTTATTGACTTTCAGGTTTGTAGCTTTTGACCTCACAACATTCCAATGCATCCTCACTATCTGCAGTATCGCAACGCACAGCGTAGGTACCTACAATAAGTAATGCCGCTCCGTTCGTGAGACCAATGGTAAGGGTTACCGCGATTAGAGCGATAATTATAACAATTTGCTCTATGTGTGTGTGCGTGTGTGTGCACTTGTGAGCAGCAGTGAGCGCCACCGCCCCACCGGATTCCGATGGCGCGGTGCTGTCGTGCGTGTGAAGGGGTATCGGTCGTTTAAGCTTCAAATAAATTAACATTTAATTATTTACATTTTGTTTATTGTCGATCGCGCCGCGCTGCTTCACGGTCTAACGTTCGAGTAAGTTTGCCCGTTGGTTATTCTGACTCCCTGATTTTCGACAAGTGGACGGAAGTGAAAGCGATCGGGTTAACACTCAACAACCACCAAAATCTGTAGCTGTGGGTCCTCACGTGTTGTCATTCCATCTGCTCCGGTCGCAAACTTATTGTACGTAAGAGGATATTCGCTGTTCCCAAGCAATACAGATACAAATTAATGTCTCAATTCAATTCGTTTGGCGGTGTTCACGTGTCGTGAGCTGTTTGCTATCTGAACTAGACCACTATTAAGTAAATCTATTTAATACAATGGATGACGTAACGGCCGGTCGACTGTAAGTGCGCAGTGAGAGCATTTTCCTTTCAAGTTCAGT